TTTTGCGGAACCAGGGATTGAACTCAGGCCCTTGCCGCTTGCCAGGGAAGCGCTTATTCCACTGAGCCATCTCCCCGGCTCCCAAAGTGAAGCAATATGAAAACTTTGTAAAGTACAGAAATTAAAAGCAACATAAAAATACTGATTAAAAATTTACTATCCATCTTTTTTTCACATATTTACAGAAATGAGATCACAATTTACATAAAATTTACGTCCCACTTTTTCAATTCACATTTTCCTTCATCCCTAACTTTTTTTATTTTCTCTTATAATCTTTTTATTTTAGAGAGAAGAAACTTTTAAAGCAAGCTAATAGAGTAACAATAAGGTGCACTGCATATTGTTATCTTTACTCAGAGTACAAAATATCAGCATTTAATTGTCCAAACACTATTAGCACAAACCTTCCTTTTCAATGAACTAAGTCTTCCCTTCCTTCCTTTCTCCGCAGACAATGCTGCCAGAGACAGCAGCCCACTCAGTGTGTCTGGCGGCGCAGGAATGGGCGCTCGCGCTGCCCGATGCTGAAGACGCCCAACTGTGCTGGTTTCTGCAAGCTTCTTGTATGTTAATACTGTCAAGTGGGAGCACAAAGCACAGATGCTGAATGAACACCAGTATGAACTCCAAGCCGGAAGGAGCTGTGTGCTACGTGACGCATCTGTTCCTGCGCTCGGCGGCCACTTCCAAAATTCTTCTGTTTTCCTGGCTAAGTACAACAGGGCTGGCAGTGAGTGGAAGTGGTTTCTCTTACCAAACCACAGTCCAGCAGAACTGCTGCCTTCTGGTCCCCACATTTTTCAAACCCTTTGTAAACATCAATTATTCCACTAGAGAGATTCCTAAACATGAAATATCTGAATCTGAAATATGAATACTGTTAAGATACTGACTAATTTAGATGTTGACTTAGATATGACATTTATATTTAAACCCTTTATACTCAGTTGAGATCAGAGACTCAAGTATCTTCAGTTTTTGAAATAAAAAAGAATAGTTAAAATCTTTTTCAATAAAAAAATGTTTTTATGTATTTGGTACAGGGTCTCACTCACTACACAGCTGGGAGTCATACTGATCCTCCTATTTTCAGTTTCTCCACTGCTGGGATTGCAGGCACACGCCACCATATCCAGACTGGGTCACTGGGGATTGAACCTCAGTCCTTGTGATTGCCTAAGGGGGGGCGCTTAGTCCAATGAGCTATCTTGCTGGCCCCCTTTTTCAAATTTTTTTTTTCTGCTAGGGCTTTTCCTAGGTCAGTAATATTCTCTTTTTTCTTTCTTTTTTTAAAAAATATGTATTTAGTACAGAGTATACAGGGTCTCACTACATAGACTGGCCTCCTAGTGATCCTCCTGTTCTCAGTCTACCAAGTGCTGGGATTACAGGCGCACGTCAGCACACCCAGTCTCAATCACTGTCTCAGCGCACCCCTGGATGCGAGGCTTGCATGGCAGGCCCAGGAATCGAAACCCGTCCCCCGCCACGTCTGCCTAAGCAGGTGCTTTAATCCACTGAACTATCTGGCCGGTCCTTAATAATAGTCTCTATTTCACACTCAAACAGATTGGTCATCTGATTAAGAGTTGAAAATAAGTAAGTTTTTTTTGTTAAAGTATTATAATCAATTTTATCACTGGTTATTAAATTACCTCAATAACTGAAAAAACAAAGTTAAAACTTTACCCCATTTTTACTGCCAATGAAGAAAACAGACTTTTCTCCAGTTTCGGCTCCTTCGCCTTCACTTCCATTCCTTCCTTTTTTTTCCACTTCAGCTTTTGCAATTTCCCAGAGCGTTTCACTGCATGATAGGTCGAAAAACAAAATTCAAAACATCAAAAATATCTATTTAAACACTGATTTCAAGCAGAAAAATTTTATTTCAGTAAAATTTATAAGACAAAATGCATTCTTGGAGACAAAAATTTGCAAACCATCTGATAATTAGTCTGGTTGTGATTAGTTGTTTTTTTCTCTTGAACTAGTTCTCTGAAGAATACTGATGCTGATAAGGAAAGCCTTTACTACCAGGGTTTGAGGTTGTCTATTTTGGGGCTTCCCAGCAAGGTTAAAGGTTGTACATGTTAAGTTTCTTGCACACAGTTGAAGGTATCAGGATTTTAGAAACGTACATCTTAAATCATCTAGAAAGATAACAATGATGTAAAACCAGTATATCAAATAATCTCTGCTTCCTGAAACTTTTTTCTCTTGATCGTCATTACTTTGAGTTTTTAAAATTATGTTTTGGGGGCTGGGGAGATAGCTCAGTGGTCTAAGTGCCTTCTTGGCAAGTGCAAGGACCAGGGTTCAATCCCCAGCACCACATGCTGCGCTGTCCTGGAACCCTGGGCACACCCCTACTGGCTACTGAGGCCCAGCATGGTGGCACAGATGTATAATCCCAGTGCGGGGAAGGCTGAGACTGGAGGATTACTATGTGTCCGAACTGCATAGCAAGATCCTATACCAACTAACTAAATAAATAAATACGATGTTTTATTTTATTTATTTTTGTATTTAGGGCAGGGTCTACAGGGTCTCACTACATAGATCGAACTCATAGTGATCCTCTTGCTTACAGCTTCCCAAGTGCTGGGATTATAGGCATGTGCCACCATGCCCAGTTTCAATAGCCCTCTGGGGGGCAGGGGGTGGGGTGGCAAGGACGGCACTGCAGGCTCAGGGATTGACTCCGAACTCCCGGCCCGTGCATCCGCTGAGCTATATAGTGGGCCCTAAGATTTCTTTAAAAAAATTAAAAACAAAATTGTTTTGGTCCCTCAAATTTTTAAAAAATATTAAAGTATAAGGGGCCAGGGAGATGGCTCAGTGGAATAAGTGCTTCCCTGGCAAGTGCAAGGGCCTGAGTTCAGTAACCAGTTCCAGGGAGAAAAAAAATTAAAGTATAAAGATGAAAGGGGGAAAAAAATCACCTGTCACAAACATTTTGAAAATAAGTTTTTCATTCCTCTATGTACAAACCAATAGCTTTTTTTTTTTTTTTTTGGTGGAACCAGGGATTGAACTCAGGCCCTTGTGCTTTCCAGGGAAGCGCTTATTCCACTGAGCCATCTCCCTGGCCCCACTAATAGCTTTTTGAAAGCTAAATCTAAGTGGCAATGGAGTACTGAACTGAACTAAAAAGACCTTACAGGGTCTACCGTGAATCTGTACTTTTCATGTTTGTGAATTTATGCAAATTAACTTGCTTCTCTAGATCATTTCTTTATCAATTAAACAAACAATGTACATTCTCAGGCTTAAGACCACTGCTTTATATCTAAAATGTCAATTTGTAAAAAAGTACCAAATTTGGAGGGCTGCTGTGACTGTTACAATGTAGCCAATTAGTTTAGGGACTGATCTATAAAACCAGAGAAATTATTTGCAATTTATACTTATTAGTCAAGAACCAGGAAGGAAAGACAAAAGCAGTAATATAAAGTCAGGAGTGCTTCAATGTTTGCACTAAAAGTCACCTTTTCATTTCTCATCGGGTCCCCGAAACGTGAGGCCTGTCTGCCCTTCACTTACAAACCATCCCCTGGGAACCAGATTATTTGACGTCCACACCCAGCAGACCGGAAAAAGGCGCTGTCACTAGGCATGCCCCGGGTGGGGATCCCTAACTGAAGCCTAGCTTTACCACCGTTAGCAACGACAACGCGATGGAAAGATGACCTTTTTTTACCCTAAAGTTGCGAAAGCTTTACGCTGCTCTGCGACGGGCTCCCCGTCCCTCTCCCCGGCATCCGACTAAACGGTTCAGAGGTGGTCCAGGTATCGCCTCCTGCAGGCGCAGCTTAAAGGGACCTCGTAGAAAGGAAGAGCTCACCCCTATTTTACAGGCCATCAGGCCCACCCCCGCGCGAGCTTAAGCTTTCCACAGTGCCTTCCGCGTTCTCCCTCACGGTGCTTCTGAGCCTCGCGCCCGGTGGGCGTCCCTGGAGGGAGCTTTGGGCGCTTAGTGGGCCGCCCATCCCCGGCGACTGCAGCGGTCGCTCAAGGAACCTGCTGAATCGAATCAGGGATGGGCGAAGTTGACCTTTCTGACTCCCTTGCTTTTCTGCCTACTGCTCGGGGGCATCTCAGACAGGGCCTGCCCAAGCAGACCTGGCTGCGAGCCGGGCGACCAGCCCTTTCCCCGCCGCTGGGCCAGCGCGGGCTTCCGGTCCCCAATCCGCCCCCGCGGCCTTCCAGGTCAGAGTGGGGAGGGGAGGCTTTGGGGCAGACTTAGGCTGGGCGCAAGCGGGGTTGCAGAACTACCTGGGCATCGTGACAGTCCCTCCACTCACGGAGGGTTCCGCGTGCGGCCCAGTCGAAACCCTGAGAATCGAGAGGCACAAGGTGAACCGGGAACGTAGGCTCCTCGGTTCCCATGGCAACGGGGGGCGTCGCCTCATTGCGTGCAAAAGAATGGCATCATGGGAAATGTAGTTTTCAGTGCTCCTTTTGAAGTCGCATCTTCAACAGCAACCCCTAAAATGGGAAGGAAGGAAACAGTAGTTACGAGCTTGGGGCCCCAAAGCAACTGTTTCTGAGCTGGAAATGTTATTATTATTTTTTTTTTCTGACTGCTCACTATATTCCAGGGCCATCTGCTTTTTTCTCATCTTTTACTTTTGTCTTTGCCAGTACCCATGACTTGGAAATAAAGAAAATAAAAGTCTACGGAACTATTTTTTTTTTCTCTTTTCTTTCTTTCTTTCTTTCTTTCTTTCTTTCTTTCTTTCTTTCTTTCTTTCTTTCTTTCTTTCTTTCTTTCTTTCTTTCTTTCTTTTTCGCTTTTTCGTGGCAGAACTGGGGATTGAACTCAGGCCTTTGTGCTTGCCAGGAAAGCACTTATCCCACTGAGCCATCTCCCCGGCTCCCGGAACTATTTTTCTAGTAATTAACTAGAAGCGAGAAATAATTAAGCCTTAAAGCTGAAATTGAAGCATACAGCTTTAATGTTTTTCAAATTTCTGAAAGTTTGACTGTATCATGCTTCTTGCAATGGCGCATTATCCGCAAGTTAGTGAAGCTTGTACATCTCCTACATCACTTACTTTATGGACATAGATTATTTTTGTTTGAACTTTGTGGTCTCTTTGTAGATCTCCAAGAATCTACAAAGATCAATGACAAACCTTGGGTAATCACTATATGCAAGGCTCTGTGCTACACAGTAAGGAATAAAGAGGTAAGACAAGATCTGGACTGCAAGAAAGAACCGCATACCCAGCTACTATATTACAGCCCAAGGAAACAAGTCATGTAAGCTATTGCAGAAGTAGTACAAAAAATTACTCGAGAACAAAAGTGACTAATTGTGCCTGAAGAATTGTTGGAACCTCTGCGGTGCTGATAGTATTTGGTCTGCTTTGAATTCTCAGCAGACCCAGGATGTCTTACCAAGATCCTTGAATATTTGAGGAAGGTATCCACTCTCTAATACTCTACTGTTTGGCTTAATTTGTATGTTTTTTGTTTGTTTTGTACTTTAGTACAGGGTCTACAGCGTCTCACTACGTAGATCCGACTCATAGTGATCAGCTTGTGTTCAGCCTCCCAAGAGCTGGGATTACAGGCGAGCAGCACCAGGACCAGTCACCCCCGGGGGTGGGGCCGGCACAGCCGGCCGGAAGTTGTATGTTATCTAGTCTAAAAATGAATTTTGAACTATGGTGGATATTATGGTTTATATTTAGATTTCCCAGGAGTTTCAGAAAGGTGCTTGATTTTTTTTTTTTCTCCCAGAACCGGGGATTGAACTCATGCCCTTGTGCTTGCCACGCAAGCGCTTATTCTACTGAGCCATCTCCCCAGCCCCAGAAAGGTGCTTGAATAGCGGGGGCAGTGGAGCAGGCTTCATGTTAGGAATCAGGGTCTGGTCTGAAGGAGAGGGTCACTTTGGGCCTGACCTGGAAGGGTTTGTCTCCCTCTCAAATGCTCTCTCCAATCTCTCCTTCCTAGCTGCCATAACATGAGCAGCTTTCCCTCTGCAAACACCCCTCTGTTGTGTGTTGTCCTGCCTTGGAGCCAGCAAGCTATGGACAAAAACCATGAGCCAAAATAAACCTCTCCTTCCTTTGCTGGTGCTGGTTATTAAGTCCAAGCGATGCGGAAAGTGACTAAAGACATTGGACACAGATTCAATTCCTGAGTCTGTGTACTTGGTAAGTTTCCATACTTCCTTGGGTAAATTTCCATGTTACCTTGGGTAAATTACTTTTTCTGAACTTTAGTTTGTGATCTTGTGAAGCACAGAATAATCTGGAGTTTTAGATTTTTTTTTTTTTTTTGTACTAGGGATCGAACTCAGGACCTTACACTTGTCAGGCAGGTGCTTAAGCCACTGAGCTATCTCCCCAGCCCGATTTGGAGTTTTACATGAGATAAATTATGTGGTAGCCCACATGTATGTGGCATATTATAAGAAATAAATTCTTGTTATTATCATGTGGTAAACTGCTGGTAGGCCATGTGTGTGTTGGTGGTGGGGTTTGAACCCAGGGCCTTCTGCATGCTAGGTAAATGCTCTACCAGTTATACCTCCAGCCTCGTAGGCACTCTGAACTAAGAAACAGGGACAGGTTTCTAGAAATGACAGAAATGGTTGGTAAAAGCAAAGAGCATTCACTTCATATAAAGTCTCTGGGAACTAAATCCTCAGACACACTGGTGTACTTGGAGACTGGAAAGACTACTATAGCACATAGAAAGGGGTGTGATGAAGGTGGAGTTCAGTGGAGTAAAGATGACTCTGAGGAGCATCAATACATCTCTCACTGAAAGCACATCTGTATTTTGGTGCGAGACACCTATAAGCTCATAAATTAATGCGGAACAAATAGCAGTAGTTGTAATAATCTGGGTTCTGGAGCTCCTGGGCCCTTACACATGCTAGGCAAGAAATCCTGTTGATATTATTAATAGCAGCTAATACTTTTACCAAATGTATGCTGTATACCAGCAACAGTAAGTCACTGACAGTGCAGTTGTTTGGATAATGAAATAGGTGAAGCAGAAGCCTGGTAACAATAAGGCAAAGTTTATCTGGCTGCATCCTGTTCACCGTGGACTCAAGTCGAATCAGTTGGTCTGGTTCAGTAGGTGAGTTCTCTATTTTTCTTATTCCTCCAGAAGGGTCATACTTGAGTAAAGAAAGTGATCTTCCTGGGTAAGATGAGAAGTGTTCTTAGGGTAAGAGTAGGAGAAGACTTCAGCTCTTCTACAGGGGCACTTCAAGAAGATTCAAGGTTTCAGAGCTGGTGACCAAGGAGAAGGCAGTTTTATGCTGCTTGCTGGATGGAATGAGCTTAGTGTAGAAGGGTAAAGGGATGAAAATGTGTTTGGGGAACTCTGAATAGTTCGGAGTGCGATCATTTACATGCCTGGAGGAGCTGAGCTGGAACAGCAGGCTGGGTGGATAGACTGGTGTTGAACACTGTGCAGTTTGGATTTTGCTGTGTGGGTTGTAAGCCAAGTAAGATTTGGAATAGGAGTGTGCCGTGACTAGGCCTGAATTTCAGTAAGATAATTTTTTGCAGCTGTGTGCAGGATGCTTTTGGAGTCCAGAAGGCCATGTGGAAGCTGTTAACAATAGTCAGGAAAGTGATGTTTTTACCTTCACCCTGCCTTGTTTTCAAAGTTATATAAGCTTCTTATAGAAAAAATTAGTATAGAATAAATGAAGAGGGGGGAAAAGCCTACTCCAGAAGTAATATCCATTAAACATTTTGGTGTGCTTCAGTCTAACCATTTTTCTTTTTTTTTGGTTTTCACAGTCCTAACATCAAATTCTTTGCTAGGGCTTTAATCAACAAAGAATATGTTCTTTCTATTCTTTTCTTTTTTGGTAGGACAGTTTCAATAATTAACACATTGCATACATTCTTCCCAGTGGTTAATTGCTATACAAGATGCGGACATGATATCCTATTTACAAACACCATTAGAACAAATCCCTCTATTCATTAAGAGAATGTAACTATATATCTATCCTAACCACTTTGAATACACAGATACAAAATGGACATTCATCTGTATCCCTTTTTGTTAAGTTCCATTATTTGAATATTATAGGTAAACTCAGCAAAATATTCTAAAAGAGTCCAGTAGTCCATAATAGTATTGGGGCTTCTGCTTGACTGGCAATATCGGAAATTGTTGACCTGAGTCCCCTATAGCTCAACATAACAGCATGGCTTTACTTCTTATATTTCATTTTTATACTTTTCTGCTGGATGGCTAAGACCAAGGTAAAGCAGGACCTATGCAACAAGAGTTGTAGCTTTTGGGTCTGAGAAGATCAGTGAAATGCCCTCAGGATTTATCCTGAGATCCTGTACCTCAGATTGTAGAACCTTTGTCAGTGTCAGCCATGTGGATGAGTCACGGCCATTGCTTGGCCAATGTGCTCTCTGTGAAAGCCTGAGAGAATGTTTTCTCTCCACGTGACTCTCCTTAGGCACACTCTACATCATCGATCACTTTCCTCTTTGGCCCCATAATCTCCTTGATCAGAAAATTTGGGACACTACCGAGTTACATGATGTTACAGTGCAAGTTCTCATATGTCCTGAGTCTTAATTGACCTTGGAAGGCTAGGGCCAAAATGTTGGCTTTCCTTGCGGCCCTCCTTTTCATCTAATTTTGGTCTGCAAACTTAGGTTGTTAACCTTCCAGAAGACAAGCTTATTGTTATTACCATACAACCTAGGCTGTTAAGCTTAAGCTTACTATCTGTCTGAATATCAAACATCTTAGGCATAACATGGAACAGGTATTTTTCATCAAGTATTGATATATTGAACTTTAAGTCCCTACAGAATATGATGAAAAAACATTTAAAAATTAGAATATTAATCATTTTTCTTAGAGTTGAGGTTTTTTTTTTTTTTTTTTTGGTGGAACCGGGGATTGAACTCAGGCCTTTGCACTTGCCAGGCAAGTGCTTAGTCTACTGAGCTATCTCCCTGGCCCAAGATTTTATTTTTTTATGTATTTGGTACAGGGTCTCACTACATAGCTTGGACTCATAGTGATCCTCCTGTCTCAGCCTCCCCAGGGCTGGGATTACAGGTGTGCATAACCATGCTTGATTCCAGGGATGACACAGCATGTTGTACCGGGGATTGAACCCGGGTCCTTGTGCTCTGCAGGCAGGTGCTTAGACCACTGAGCTATCTCCTCAGCCCTAGAGTTGAGATTATACTGGAAAGCTAAGTATCCTGATTTTAACACGTATTGCCCCCTAACAAATTTTAAACATTCCTGATAAATATAACCTTGATATCTGCATATTACAGTATGTAGTTTATTTTTTAGTAATTAGGCATTCTCCTAATGTTGACCAAGGTTAAAGCAGCTCGGCGCAGCCTCTGACATAAACCGTTTTCTGGGATTTCTCCAACTAAAACTGGAAAAAGCAACTCACTCCCTTTTTGGAGAAATCAGCATATTTTTTGGCAAATGAAATGTTATTTGTAGTTAGAAAATATGAAGCATGCTCTGAACAATGCAAGGAGAAAGTCCTGGCAGATGTGTCATGATGCTGGCTGTCCCCAAAGCTTGTCTGTGTCTTCAGCTTGCTATGATATCACTGTTGAGCTCTCCCTTTAATTAGATGTGATGTCCCTAGTATCCCTGTAATAAAAATAAGAAAAATGACATCTCATTTTTGTGTAAGTTAATTCAAGTTGAATTTTGGAATGTATAACAACATGGTTTTGGACAGTAAAGAGTGAAGCCGTGGGAAAAGGGAGAAATGCCAATGATTCTTGGGTGACTTATGACTTGCTGACCCTATTAACCAACTGCTGCAGGGCGGGGCTCAAGAGAGGATAACCAAGTCTAGAGGACTCGGTGTGTTTACAGAATCACGCAACACACAACTGGAACAACTGGAATCCAGCGAACTTGGCGGTTAGATGGAACACAATGTCAGGTGATGGCGCTTATTTTATGGCTGCAGGAAAAACACAGCAACGTCTTGTGATCTGTGCGCCACACACCAGCCAGGAAGAACTCTTCTCGCGCTTTTCTAAGGTTACACGCTTTCCTTACCATTTTCTGTCCTCAAAGACAAGTCTTACCAAAGTTTGCTAATATTTCCCAGAAATGCAAGTGAATACCTTCTAAGCTATCCCCTCTGGTACTTCCTCACATTTACTTCTTAGGGATACATCTTAGGAATTCATTAAAGCCACCCTGAAAGAGGGACCTAGCTTTCCCTTGTCACTGACAGAGCTAAGCAGCAGTCACTCGGTCATAATAAAACCATAATATAACCCAGCTGCAAATGTCAGGAATAAGTATTCTCTCTGGAATCAGTGCGCTCTCTTTCCCTTACACACACACACACACACACACACACACCCCTGCTAATCAACTATTTGGTATTTGTTTTCTCATGTCCCTAATAAAGATTTTCTTCCTTGCCTATTACTGGACTGCAGGATAGTTTATTATAAAGTACACAGCGAAGATTTCTGGATCAATGTTGATGCCTCAAGAATCATTGTGACTATGTACAACTTAGGTAAAATTAAGTTCAGCAAGTGAACTTGAGCTGATGTCATCTCATCCCCTCAGCCCCGTCCGCTGGCCAGGGCCACCAGCATTTCAAGGGAAAATGACCTTTTAAGTGCAAGAGCCTACATTTTATTCCCACTGAAACACAGGAAAGTTTCCTTCACCCTAAATATCTACATTTGGATTTACCTTAATTTTGACTTTAAAGGGAAAAACAATTTTTTTTTTTTTTTTTTTTTTGACAGAACTGGGGATTGAACTCAGGCCCTTGCACTTACCAGGGAAGCGCTTATTCTACTGAGCCATCTTCCTGGCCCCAAAAAACAATTACTTATATTGCAGTAAAATCTCTTTCTTCCTTTAGGGAAAACGGAGTGGAGAAAATGTGAGAAGAGAGTGCAGCTTCTGTGGGAGCTGGCAGCAGAGGATTCCCCTGGCGCTGGTCCCCTGTCCTTCCTCTCCTCCTCACTTCCCACACTGTTGGAATCTCTCCCCACAGTCAGCCTTGAGGAGGGCGGATGCCAGCGTGGCCTGGAGGTGGTGGATGGGGGAGCTGTGTTCGGGGCACCTCAGAAACACTTCGAGCCTTTCACTAGAGAAATGCTGTGGTTCCTTCAGGATTATAGTTCAGTTCAATTATGAATTAAATGCATTTGTTCCAAGGAACTGATCACCATGTATTTTTTCCCCTTGGAGGAAAAATTCCAATCAACAACTAATTGATAGTTACATTTATTTCCAAGTTATGGCAGTCTGTATTTGGTTTTTAGGGCATACACACATACGCATTCACACACAATAAAAAACAGCTGAAATAAATTTTTAGAACAAAGTTCATTAAATTCATCTAAGTGAAATAAACTCCTTAGGAGTTTATTATGAAATCATGGGGAAACCAGTATGTCTGTTTATTTCTCTATTGAATATATATATATATATATATATATATATATATATTCAATAAATTTTCCAAAACAGCTTCCTTTTATAAGGATAAAACAAAGCAACACTGAAGACAAAGCATGAATACAAGAGGCGACATAACTACCATTTTCGCTAGTAGTGCACTCAGCTTTGACAATGAAAACGTTAGGTATTTCTTGAAGGTTATTCAAAAGATAATGCTCAATATGGGTTCTGTAAATCATGTATTATGATTGAAAGGGAAGAAAATGATAGGAGACAAATATTACAGTTAGACATGAAACATTATTCTTTTATAACCAACCATAATAACATACTTTGAAGTTTTAAAATGGCTATGTAAGTAATTTCCCAGAAAATAAAATTTTCACATCATCAGTTACAGAAAATTGATTTCTTTCCATCAAAACATTTTTTCTCTGCTCTATCAAAAATAAATGCCAAGTCTAAGATACTGTTGTTTAAATTAAGCCTTCACTACTCATTCTTAAATAAGATTGGGTTGGGTGGCAGCTTACCAAATGGCGAGTGAACTACCTACTGCCTGAGCAGAAAGTTCTCCCACATAAGTAGCAGCTCTGCCAAGCGGCTGGCTCACCAGCTAATGCGTAAGTTCCTGGTTTTCTGGGAGCCCGGAAACACTACTGAATCCCAGCCAAAAGATGCCTGAGAATCATCCCCAACTAGTTATCAGTTTATTCTAAAAAACTGATTATTTACTCAGAAAGTAGCTGCGGCTCAAAAGATGAGGGGAGAAATGGCCAACGAGCGTCTCTTCTCGGGGGTCTTTCAAGCTCGCTCTGTGATCAGTTCTAAGGCGTGGTGTTGGTTGAGCGCCGCACTTCTGGGCTCTGCTCTTCTCTAGGAGGGAACATTTCCGAAAGGCTGTGAGAACAGTACACTGCCATGGGGAGAAATCATAGAGGATGAGAATGTAAGGGCCCTGCCAACAAATTAATTCAGAAACTAAGGTCTTGTTTCTTTTTCCAAACTGCTTAAAAATATGACACAATAGGTGATAAATATGCCCCCCAAATAAATACAAAATATTCTACACATAAATAAATTTAACTATACTAATGATTACTATTACAGTTAAACATTTCTATAATAGAATTTTTATGTTTTATCACAGTTCCATTTTTATTATGAATACCAATGACACTGTTTTGACACATATTAGAGTATACTGGCCACTTCTTTATGACCTGGTATAGTAATACATTTCAATACTTTTCCAATTAAAATTTTACCTACTTTGACAGAAGAATTCTTTAATTTTTCTTGAATTTATTTTTAAGCTATAATTAGAAAGAACTATCTCAGGGACAACAGTGTAAGGACCATCTTTATTTCAAAAACACTGTTATTTAATGAAGCAAGGTCAAGTTGACCTAGCACCAAATGCAATGAAAACTGGGCAGTATTGCGTGAACTTGGTATATAGGAGCAGAACCAAGAGCCACAGTTTCATTTTAAACTTTCCATGCCCGTGATCTGCAAGGGTGGCCGGCATCCCCTCTCACACCACACGGGAGCTAGTGGTTCCTGAACTCCCGTTTCCTCGCATAGTGATGCCCGGAGCCAGACAACTTTTTGCACCTGCTCTACAATTTCCCCTAATACTGTGCCACAGCCGCCGCTGACTGCGAATCCCGCTCCTTTCAAAATGCCACCTCATTAATTAAAAGCACATTTAATTACAGTATTTATATTTTTGGCAGTGAGCTTTTCCAAATAATCAACTGGTTAACAAATGAAAGCTTGGAATCTCTTTTTGTTAAGATTGCCAGAATATTTAAAGGAGAGAAAAAAAGGCATTTTGCATTCATGTCTCTGGTGGCCAGAGAGAAGGAAGGTGGGCAAAGTGACAAATTTTAACTTATTTAATCTAAGAGAAATAAGCATATCGGCAAATTCTGTGTTTGTTTTACTATTGTTTGGATAGTTAAGGATCAAATAAGAGCAGCAACCCCATCTCGAACCCTGGAGCGTGGTGCCATGGGACAGCACCAACCATCATGGTGCAGCTGACGTAGCCGCTGCTCAGGGACAGGCAGCAATGTCCAGGCTCCTGAGCCTTCAGAGCAGCGTGGGGCCTTTGGTGGGCCTGCTGCCTGGGAGCAGGGGCTGGCTTCCCAGCACCCTGGCCTGGGATTCCTGGGCCTCGAGGGAAAGCAGGGCTGGAGCGGAGAGGTGGTGACATGCTGCCTTTTGTTGATGGAAGTTGTTGATGTAACTGGCAATCAGAAGAGTGATTTCAAGAATCTAAAACAAGAAAAATAGAACTGTTATGCTCCTGAGAAGGTCTCACCAATTCCAAGAGAGCAAGGGTTCTCCCTGTGCAAGTGCCCGGCCTCCCAGGACCCCCTTCTTCTAGCTCAGAGACTGAAGCTCTCACCTGCCTGCACTATGAAGACACTGCCACATTTTTTCCATTAACTTACATTATCAGAAAGAGCAAATCTCAAAAAAAAAAAAAAAATTCAAATTTTGCAGCCATTTTTAGAAATGTGATGGTCAGTATACAACTCAATTATCTTAAAGTCATGTTTGTGAATATATATGAATTAAGACATTCAGTGTATTACATCAATTATTTAATTACACAGAAATATTGAGTATCAAGATATTTAAGTCATGGCTAACCCTCTTTACTTATGTATAGAACTGATTAGGGAAGAGATCTGCTAAAAAACCCTCCATATTCTGAAGAAATTATCTCTTTGACAATTTTGTGATAACTTTTAGGAAAATCAATTTCTCGTTTTTTTTTTTTTTCACTAAAATTGGCATTACAGAGGCTGGTGAGATGGCTCAGTGGTCTAAAGCACCTACTTAGAACAAGCTTAGCAAAGCACAGGGACCGCGGTTCAATCCCCCAGCACCACATGCCAGCCAGCCTCGCCCCCTGGTGGGCTGAGCTGGCCACACATACACACACACACACACAAATACACACACAAATAAATAAAATTAAGATAAATAAATAAATAAATTTGGCATTACATGTTAGAATGCAGCCCTTCTATTTGATTTTACTTAGAGGCACTAGAAGTTTATAATTTGTTTAAAATAGAGGAACAAATATGTTTTAATCATAAAAGTCTGTTCTTTCTTCGATAACTTCATAGAACAAATGACTCCAAGTAGGTAAGAATGTGTATAAAGTACATGATTAACAATAAAATAACCCATGGCCATGTTCTTGGAGCAGCGTATACACCAGACACAGGGCTAAGTCAAAATAAACAGCATTTTTCAGATAAAAGAAACCAAGATAAAGTTTGCCAGGATTTGGATCCATGGTTATTAAATTGTAAGTAGCATTTCTTTTCCCATCTGGAAAAACTGCTTAATAAATGTTTTGGCATGAAAAAATAGTACAAAAACGTTGGCAGAAAGGGGTCCACTCACCTTAGGTTTTGCCATGGCGAAAAGTAATTTCTCCGTTGGTTTGTCTTTCGAATGAGAATTGTTAATGACTACCATAAAATCATCTTGATAACCTCCAAAGGTCATTAGACTTTTGTACGCATAGCTCATTAATAATCTCTTAAAAATAAAAAATAATTACGTTATACGTTCTTTACATTTAAAGAAAAATGAGAAATGATTAATAACATACATCGCCACTGAAATGCTCATGTGGATTAGTTACAGCATAATGCAAAAAGCATTTTCAAAACCACATCTATTATGACCTGAAATAAACAGGGGTGGGGATAATTTTATATTTTCTTTACAATTAAATTTTGATTCTGAAAAAACTTACTGCAGAAAAAATAGGAAGTATAAGAAAATTAAATACACCAATATTCCATCAGCCAGTGGAAAATAGCTGGTCACGGATTTGTGTACGTTTTTTCGCATCGCTCTTTCCGTATCAGAGTAAGCCATATGAGATTGATACTTTTATCATCAAATACTGTCTGTCAAAACTGGCAGATCCACGTGGTTCACCCTGACAGGCCGATTTTGAGATATACAGACAGAAGCAGTATCATGACTATACTGCTGCTTAGCACTGTAGTTTTTTTTACGTTAACAGCAAGCTGTAAACATCCTTTGACAACAACAAAGGCAACTGGATAATACTTTAAGCTGCTTCATAGACAATCTTTTATTTCATTGGTCTCCACTTACAGCATATGCAAACCATTTTTACTTGTTACTTCAAAGTGCACATAATTATTTCTGTGGTTATAAAACCAAACAACAAGAACTGTTAAGGAGTGAAGACCACTGCAGGACTTTTTCCCACTTCTGCTCTAAGGGGTTGTACCACTCACACCCTCAGGCTTGCTAATGCTGGATATCACCCTGCTTTTAGATCTCTACAACATAATTGGTAAAAAGGAGAATCTGTTTAAATTGCATTGATTTGATTGCTGGTGAAATCTAACATTTCAGAAAACATATACTGAATATTTGTATTTCTTTTGTGAACTGTCATGGCTCCCTTATCTATTAGTGTATTTATAGTCTTTTTTGGTGGTGGTGGGGATTGAACCCAGGACCTTGCCCACGCTAAGCACATGCACTGCACTGCAGCTGTGCCATACTCTTAGCCCCAGCCCCATAGTTTCTTCTTTTATTTATTTTTTATTCTGTAAGAGATCTATATATTAAAGATATACAACAAGTATTTCCCCACTGTGTTTCTAAAACCATTTAAAACATAGTTTAAAGTCACACAGCCTAAAAGTACAGGCATCTACACACATAAGGGTCGGCTGGAGGACCGAGCAGAGGTCTCCAGCACCAGGAGCTCGGGCCCCCAGCGTGGAGCGCCAGGCCTTCCATTCACCACCTGGGGTCAAGGAAGGAAGTTTACTTAACTAAGGAACTTGATATTGGTTCCTAGTTTCTTGTTGACTTCAAGTCAATGATTTTAATCATCTGTCTTCCAGTTATCCACCCAAGAACTAAAAAGTATTTGGAAAACACAAACTCTGACAAGCTTCTTAAGTACTTACAAGGGGAAACAGTAACTATGACCCTACAGGATAGTGTTGTTTCCAAACCACTTTCAATGATCTCTGACTGCTGCCAAGGGTGAGGACAGCCTGCTACAGGCTCTGAAGTTAGCAATTTTTAGACTAAAGAAAAAAGGAATTGAGTATTTTCTAAATAATCTGACACATGAACTGGGTGTGGTGGCTCACGCTGGTAATCCCAGCACTCAGAAAGCTGAGGCAGGAGGACTGCTGTGAGTTTGAGGCCCACCGGGACTATATGGTGAGCTTAAGTCCGACCTGAATTAGAGGGAGAACCTGCCTCAAAAAAAAAAAAACAAAAAACAAAAAACAAAAAACAAAAAACAAAAACACCAAAAAATAGACACATGAAATAGGAAAATGTTAATTCCAATAAATAAATGAACCCACAAAAAGAATAATTTCACTTTATTTGTATCTACATGAAAAGCTCTATAGCTCTTAATTTTGTATATGTCCAAGTGAAGTGGTAAGTGATGTCATGGAAAATTATAGAAATTATGTGTAGAAGCCTTAGTGAAATTAAAACTCTGATCATTATAGTTTCTATTTAATGATATCTTAAATATTTTTCTTCTATATAGGAAGCAAATATCATAACACTTTAAAAATATTCATGTTACCAATATAACCACGATGATAATTTAGCCACCGGATAATACACAACAGGTAATTTTTCCCATACACAACAGGTAATCTATCTTGTCTTATTTTAAATATTTAACTGTAATCATAGTTGTATCTTTAAAGTGGCACTCAATAAGATATGCTTTCAGAGTATCAGAGAAATAAAACTAAGGTATTGTTACTTTCTGTTTATGGTCTACTAAGCAGAAGAAATAGTGGAATCAATGCAAAATTTCAGGGCTTAATCTTACCATGGAGTTGAATTCTAAGATGCTTAACCCACTTTCATTGATAGCCAGCCACATGAAAGTATTTCCAAGTGATGACGGAGTTATGGGCTAGGAAGAGATGAAAACATACTATAGGATAAATGTTAAAACAAATTACAGAGATATTTTCCATCTAAATTCCATCACATTGTTAAAAATATGTCTCTTAGGAAGGAGGCTGTTTGACAGAGTAGAGGATTTGATTTTAGGAGACCGATTTTGAAACCCAAATCTGCCATTTAGTAATCTGTACACTTGGGCAAGGCACTTAATTCCTTTAAGGTTGAATTTCTTCATCTTTAACATGCAAACAATAATTTTTACTATTTATTTTTGTTCAAGAAGTTAATAGTCAACAAAATTTTTAGGTTTTCCACAGTGGCCAAAATCCTAATGAAACAAAGTATATTGTTGCTCTTTGCACTACTACAATGTAAAGGATTTCTATAATTGTACGTTTTCTAAAAGCTTATTAAATGTGATATACAATGTCTTAACAAAATTAGGTTAAAAATAAAATACAAAACTGTGATTATAGTAATGAGAAGTATTAAAATTTCTACCCAGGGCCAGGCTATAACTCATCAGCACAGCACCTGCCTGGCAAGTGGGAGGTTGTAAGTTTGATTCCTGTTATCAAACCAAACCAACCAAACAAAAAAATTCCTACCAAATTCTTTATTGCAAAAGCAATGAAATTATATGGAAATGTCTCCCACCACTAAAACCAATTAAAATGCATGTATGTTTTTGAGCTTTCCATAACTATTTTATTCAGTTAAGAAATGAACTTCTAACAAAAATGTAATTGTGTCTCTTAAATCTTATAAAAGAATGTTGAGATGATACATGAGGAATTGGAGTGAATTCTGTGTTACTGGTAAATAGTAAAACTTATGAGAATCTCATATTTTTAAAATTTTTTATTTATTTATTTATTCAGTACAGGGTCTTGCTATGTAGCTTGGACTTGTAGTGATCCTCCTATCTCCGCCTACCCAGCATTGGGATTAGAGGTGCATGCCACCACTGCCGGTTTCGGTGGCTGGCATGGTGGCATGGCTTGTGGTACCAGGGATTAAACAGGGGTCCTGGTGCTTGCCAGGCAGGCACTTAAGACTACTGAGCCATCTTCCAGCCCAAGAATCTCATATATATTTTTTGAAAAACCATCCAGCTTTTCACTCTGTCCACTGTGCTGATTTGCAAATGTAGCCAAGTACTAATCAAGATGCTATTCAACTGAAGTGTCTACTCACAGGTGAATGAATAAGCAAAGTGTGCGTTGTGTTCGTGTGTAGCTGAATGCTAGACAGTCTTTTTTTTTTTTTTAAGTTCGGAAGGATTTTTTTTTTTTTGGCTGGCTCAGGATGCCTTCAGGGCAGGTTTATCAAGGCTTCAAGATCTGGGGTTCGATCCACAGCAACCTGAGCCTGACTGCTCTGTTTAAGCAGTCACTAAACAACTGAGCTAATGGGCAGGCCCCCGCTATAAAGTCTTGAAGGAAATTTTGACACATGCTATATCGTGGATGAACCTTCAAGATGTTAATTATCCTATGTGACACAAACAGCCACAGGACAAATACTTGTACTTCCTCATATAAGTGCTTCACAGAAAGGTGATTCCCAGGGGCTGGGCTTGGGAGAGCATGGGAGGTTAGTGCTGAATCGATCTAGATTTTCAGGTGGAGGAGAGAAAAATATTCTAGAGATGGCAGCTGGTGACGGTTGTACAGCGATGTCAATGCACAGAACTGTCTACAAGAAAGTGGTTAATATAGTGAATTTTACGTTATTTATATTTTAACACACACACCCCAGATAGAAGCACCACGAAGCAAAGCAAACGTGTCCCTGCTATAGACAGAAGTGCGGTCAAGCAAAGCGAAGCAGTGTCATTATAATACCAGAATGAGAGCCAGTGCGAGCAGCCACAGACCTAGGTCTCCCTGCTGCCCAGGCTGGTCTCAAACTCCTGGGCTCAAGCAGTCCGCTTGCCTCAGCCTCTTAGTACATGGGTGTCACCGAACCTGATTTATTCCTTAGACAGTATTCAAAAATATACACTCCATGCAAATACACTAATTGTATAAATGTTTAAGAATACTAACACTATCATCTTTCTGTTAACTTATTACATAACTTCCAGTTCCAGTAGCAAAAATAATTGCTTACCCAACAATAAACCACTCATAGAACTAGAGCTAGAGGGTTCCTTAGAGTTGACTTTTCCAGTCCAGGTTGTTTATTAATAGTTGAGAGCACAGAGAGCTGGAGAGCTTGCCTAACTTGCCTAAAGTCGCAGGCTATCCAGCAAATGTTGTTAAATGACAATTGTGTGCAAAAAGCACCACAGTGGAGGAGTGTACAACCACTCTGGAGGAGTCTTCAAATTATTATTATTATTTTATGGGTACAGGGGATCAAACTCAGGACCTGGCACTTGCCAGGCAGGCATTTATGCTGCTGATCTCTCTCTCTGGCCCCCAAATGGCACATTTTATTTTTTTAGTTTTTGGTACTGGGAATTGAACTCCTTGCACTTGCCATGCAGGTACTTGTGCCACTGAGCTATATTTGCAGTTGCAACTTATTAGTGAAGATAAAAGAAATACACAGCTGTGGAGGACCACCTGAGCAGCTCTCTGTGAAAGAAGAGCGACTGTCTCCATTTTGACTGAGCCTGACCCTATTTCCTCATATTGTTACGTACAGAGCTGGCCAGGACTTCTGTTTATCCTTCAGTTGGCCTTAAGTAATGTATATTGGTCTAGCTGAGGTGCTGGTGATAGTCTTTGAAGGTGGTGTGCGTGTTTCCGTGGTAACCTACACCTGCTGCTCTTTAATGTGAGCTGGGTCAAGACAGGACAAAGAGCCACTGCTCCGCGCCACCAGCTGGGATTGAGCCTCTAGACAGAGGTTATGACTTCCTGAGGCTTGAAAGACTACATCAAAGCTGAAGCACCAGACCCCCCCAAAACATTAGATACTATCTCAGTAGCATAAAGCAGATTACTTTCTCTGCATATCCTCTTTACATATGGCAGAGGAAAATGTAGGCCACCCACCTGGCTCAGCTTACAAAGTCACCTACTTCCCAAAATTCTTGGTCATTCCTCCTCAAGCCACTCCTCCACTGAATAAAACCGAGTGAGGCCCTGGGTCAGTCTCTCGGCTCCGGAAAGCCATCTTCGTGGCTGGACTTTGGGCCCCTTGGCTCCCCAATAATTATAAATATGTTTTAGTATCTTTACTTTCACCAAGGGTTGCACTGGGAGTGGTAGACTGGAATTAACTTGGTGGGATTCCAATAACGTATCTTTGGGATTACAAATATTAACTTCTTGGACTGAGATGAGAACCAGGAAGGGATCCCTACACACAGAAAAAATACAATGTAGGATAGGATGTTTTTTAAGAACCTATGAAGAGACTGGGTATGTTGGCGCATGCCTGTAATCCCAGAGTTTGAGGGGCTGAAAACAGGAGGATCGCTACAATTCTGATCTACATAGTGAGACCCTGTAGACCCTGTCTTAAATACATAAAAAAAAATAATAATAATAATCTATGCGGGTCCAAAGTGGCAAGGTTGAATAGAAAGAAGAGAATTTTTTTTTTAATTTTAAAGAAAAAAAATGGTATAAAATTTCAAAAATAAGATGGTAAAAAGTAACAATGGTTAGTGTATTGTTATCTTCAAAGTAGTTGCTCATACTTAAAGATATAGGCATGAAAAATTGGTCAAACAATAGAAGCATAAACCTTTCTTTGTTTAATGAACTAATAGCAATTAGTAGTATAACTATCTTATCGTGTGTGTGTGTATTTTTTTTCTTCCTTCATTTTTCCTTTCTCCCATTACAGTTTCTTCCCATTTCACAATATCTATTGTACATTTTGGATCTTATTTACTCTTTCAGCTTCTTATACTAGGGAGATGATGCGATGTTTACATGTGAGACTGACCTATTTCACTTATGAATATTGTCTCAACTGGCACCCATTTCTCTATAGATGCCTCAAGTTTATCATTCTTTATGGCCGAGTAGTACTCCTTTGTATAAGAATACCACAACTTTTTAAATCTATTCCTCACTTAATTGGGCATCTGGGTTGTTTTCAAGCTTTAGCCATGACAAACTGTGCTGCTATAAACATGGTAGAAGAGGAATTTTAAAAGCGTATTTTGGGGCTGGAGGTCGGCTCCATGGTGGAGTGTGTACTCCATGGTGGAGTGGCATGTATGAGGCCCTGGGCTCAATCCAGCACTTGGGAAGAAAAAGGCACAGTTTTTCCCTACAAGCTGGCTGCCCCTCGGGCAGGACTCCAGGCTCTCCCCACTGTTTCTGCAGCACGCTCGGCTCACTCCTAAGGATATTTACCACAGAGTGCTTTGTTTACAGATGTGTCACAACACTGGACTGAGACACCATCCTGGAAATTTGGTGCAATTCATTGGAAACCAGGAGTTTGTGTTTTTCTAGTGGTCAGCTCAGCGCCTGCCATGCAGGACTCGGTAAATACTTACTAAATCAATGAGCCAATGAGTGAGCGTGTAAACGAGGGCCTGGATAAATGACTGAAGAGACGAAGGCACTGCCAGCAGCTGCTTATCATCTCCTGACTGGCACAACGACAAAAGGAGCAGAGGAGAAAAGAGGAGGTCTGGCCCCTTCCTAATATTCTTTCATCTTTTTTCTTCAAATTTTGAGGCATTTCTTTACTCTTTATGAAGCCCTGTGTATTAACACTAGGGTAAACCTGCCTGACTGTGTACTAAAAGGTTTTTACTATGACTCTCCCTCCCATTCTTTCTTACTTTTGCAAAAAATAACTTGGCACCGAAGAACGGCCACTTCCTGGCTACTGTCAAATAAATGCGCACGCAGTCGGCACCACTGCGTCCCCGGAGGGCCATCCATCTGGTTGACAGTCGCTGGTAAAGCTGCCTAAAAAAAAGAACAGAACAAAGACACAAAAGCCAAAACATGAGCAGGGTGTCACCCTCCGCAGGTGAAGCTCCCACGGGCCAGTTCTAGGCCTGCTGCCTCATCAGCGCCCCGCTGTCTCATCCCTCGGGAGTGTTTTTTCTCCAAACCTCTTACTGTCATTGCCCTCAATGTGACCAAGGTACCCCCAGCAGGTATATTTTAAAAACCTGAATAGCTAACATTGAACCCTTTTGTAAATTAGTTTACAAGGTAATTTCTCCTCAGAATATTATAATTGCTCAAGTTCAAGAAGTGAGCCCAATTGGCAGAATTTTAAGTATCATACTCCTAGCTGAAAGGTTGGACGCAGAGAAAACAGAGAATAAGATCAAATAAGAGTACATCTAAATCAAGGGAATGCTTTTTAAATTAAAAACATTGTTTAGTCAGTGAAGAATGCATATATGCTTCAAAATATAATATACGTGACAAACAGACTAACACTTCTGAGCACATCTGAAATGCAGATGGCCATCACCTCTTAGATCCCATCAATATTAAAAATTCTTGAGAAAACTAATTTTTTTGACATTTAAAATTAAAATAGAAAAATATTACAATAACAACAAAAACTAGTGTGATTCTACTAGAATTAAAATAATATACTTCCTTACCTTAACTGTTCTTCAGTGCAGCTATTTCTATACCTTTTAGGATAAAATTTTTCTATAATTTGTTTTAACGTTTGATTTGCTTTGCACTGGTTGCCAACATGCCCCGCTGGAGTTGAGAAAGGCCTTTCAAAATCTCCAATTTCCACCTGTTTGGAAATCCAAACAAGAAAACGGAGGATATTGAAAGAGCTTGTGTGAAAGATAAGTTTGTGAAGAACATAGATGCCTGGCAGGACAACAGGCAGGGTGTGGCCGGGTCACGGATGGTCATTAGCACACTCTGCAGTGAACAGGGAAGAGTACCTAATGTGTGGTGGCCCGTGGACAGGGGTTAGGGAGGGAAGAGTCAGTGGGGATCCCTAGATTTGACCCACACGTGGGGAGTGAGTAGAGACCACATTGTAAGGAAGATACAGACTGGGGAGAAAGGAGGGAAGATGGTTAGTGTAGTGCTCAGTGTGTTGAAGTTACAGAGCTCATTAAGGAAGTATGAACTGGAGAGAGCAGACATAGGAATCATTGGCATAGGTGGTGGATGAAGTAAAGAAAATGGAAGAGATGTCCTGGGATGGCGTGGAGAGTAGAGCCAGGGACAGAGGGCCCTGGGGGACCTCAGCATTTTTCTAGATGGTGTATCAGTGTTGTTTAATATTTTCCCCTTAGTTGTCCTACATAAAGGCTCAGGAGTGCTAAGAGACTATGAGCTGCCTCGAGTGGCCATCCTCTTCTTGAGCAATAGGGACCTTAAAGGAAGCTGTCCACTGTGCTACCCAGCTTACACCACATCCCCTGGCCTCCCTTTGTGGTGCCAAAATCCTACCCTGACCAGAGAGGCCTCAAGGGAGGTGTCTTATGTAACTTCAAAGACGCACTCCCACAGGCAGGAAGGCACAGCCCTTCCTCAAGGCCTGGAACAGCTGGCGCTCGGGCAGGCCTCCAGAAGCACCAGGTCAACACCACGCGGAGGAAGAACGCACAGCAGAGATAAAGCCCGTGGTCCCAAGGACTTTGTGGGGGGCCAGGAAGACCAACCCCCACCTCAAGTGAGATGAGCGTACTTCTGTCTGATTAAGTCGCTGTCAATTTCATGTATGTGTGTCTACTCAAGTCTGAACTTAAACCTAATGCATGCAGCAGGTAAATAAAAGAAAATGTTCCTGCTTTTTCAAGGACTCATCCTTGTTAGGTTACTCAAGTTTCAACACGGGCATCCTCAGCTCCACAGTAAAATATTCAGGCTCCTTCACTAACCACAAAGCCTGGAGCTGTACTTTCAAGAGTTAAGACACAAGGCTCCCCTCATGAAATATTGTCCCATTCTATGGCACTGTCAGTAGTTCCGAGTCCAACTGTAATTATAATGCCTGCACATTTTAAGATGATAATCATAGAAAATATCAATTTAAACAATTACTGAAGGTCTACTGTTTTATGGCATTAAATTCAGTGAAGAAATTAGTATCCTATCATTTCCATAGGTTACACAGCACCGGGCTTACCTGAGCTAGGAGAGCCGCCATTTCTAACGCCAGGTCTTTGTTCAGAGGAAAAAGGCCATTTATTATTTGTTCATTTGTCTGATACATTAACAGCAACTTTTCTCTATCAGTCTCTCCATAAGCTTGCATTGAGAAATACAGTCTGTAAAAAAAAAAAAAAAAAAAAAAAAGGAAATTTTGCATTAAATGATACTTTTTTTCCTCGCTTGGTAGGGATTGAACCCACAGCCTCACACCAGGTAGGCAAGCATTCTACTACTAAGATTCACCACCAGCACCAGTGAGTGAAGATAAATTCAGAGCACTAAGATGGGCTCGTTTTAGCATAATTCTTAAGCAGTACAAACCCAGACCATCACTGTCAATGATCTATGTTTGTTCCATACAACATTCTCAGCAAAATGGAAAAACATTAATAGTCTGTTCTGAAGTAGAGGAACCATTTTAAAAGATAATGTGTGTGTGTGCGTATACATATATACATATGTGTGTGTTTGTATTTGTTTATTTTTTAAAAGAAAAAAAATTGGGCTGCCTGATAGCTCAGCGGACTAAAGCGCCTGCTTAGGCAGAGTGCAGCGGCTGGGGTTTGATCCCCGTGTGCTGTGCCGGCCCTGCTCCCGGGGCGCGCTGAGAAGGTGATTGAGACTGGGTGTGGTGGCCGTGCCTGTAATCCCAGCACCTGGGAGGCTGAAAACAGGAGGATCACTACAAATTCTGATCTACATAGTGAGACCCTGTAGACCCTGTACTAAATACAGAAAAAAATATTAACAACATTAGAAAGGATACAGAATATCACAAAACAAAACAACAGGAACTCAATGATTGTTATATTACATATTGTCTTCAAATTAATTGTTCAGATTATCAGCTATAAGCATGCAAAATTGGTCCAAAAAATTAAAAAAGAAAAAATATTTAGAGATAACTTTTCCTTTCAACAGACCAGTACGAATCAGCAGTATAATTATCCAAGTTATCCTGTGTATACGCATATATTTTTCCCCTTCTTTTTTTTCCTTTCCCTCATCCTAGTTGTTCCTTTCCAGTGAGCAGTTTCTTTCCCTTTAGCAGTATCAATTGTACCTTTCAGATTTTATTTACTCCATCAAATTCTCACACTAGGGAGACAATACGATGTTTACACGTGCGGGTCTCATTTATTTCACTTACGAGTATGGTCTCCAGTTGTAACCATTTACCTACAGAAGCCTTGAGCTTATCTATTTTTATAGCTGAGTAATCCTCCACTGTATAAAAATACCTCATCTTGGGGGGCCTGCCCCTTAGCTCAGTTCTTTAAGTGGCTGCTTCAACAAAGCAGTCAGGCTCAGGTTGCTGTGGTTCGATCCCTACAACTCAAGTCAGCCAAACCTGCCCTGAAGGCATTGGGAGCAAAAAACCCAAAACAACAACAACAACAACAAAAAAAAAACAACAACAAAAAAACAAACCCACACGTCTTTTTATCCATTCCTCAGATAATGGGTTTTTAGGTTGTTTCCATTTCCAAGAGTTAGCTATTACAAATTGTGCTGCTGTAAACATGGGTGCACATATATTGCTGTGGTATGATGTTTTCAGTTCTTCTGGAAAACTACCCAGGAAGGGAAGAGCTGGGTTGAATGTGACCCCCAATCCTACTTTTCTGAGGGATCTTCACACTGATTTCCTTACTGGTTGTACCAGTCTACACTCCCATCAACAGTAGAGAAGGTTCCCTTTACCTCACAGCCCCTCCAGCATTTGTTATTAAGAAACTGACTTATTTATTTTTTATTTTTTACTTATTTTTTGGGGGAGCCAGCGATTGAACTCAGGCCTTTGCTCTTGCCAGGGAAGCACTTATTCCACTGAGCCATCTCCCCGGCCCTTAACTGTTTCTATTTTTTATTTATTTTTTACTCATTTAAAGAAATTGACTTCTTGATGATAGCCATTCTTTCTTGGGAGAGATGGAATCTCAAATGATTTGCATTTCTCAAATTAACAATGATGCTGAACATTTTTTCATATATTTATTTGATGTTTGTATTTCTTCAGTTGAGAAGTGTGTATTCATGTTAGATGCCCATTTTTGGATGGAGTCTGAGACTTTTGGGGGTCTAATTTTTTTTAATTACTTATATATTCTAAATAGAAGTTTAGCTGATGGACAGTCAACTAAAATTTTTCCCCAGTTCATGAGATTTGATTTTTTTAAAAATTTCTTGTAATGTGCAAAAAATTTTCATTAAGATGAGATCCCAGTTGCTGACTCTTTGAAGATTTCCTGTGCAGTTTGGCTTTTGTTCATGAACTCTCTTCCTAACCCATGCCTTCAAGATTTCTGCTTACTTTTCCTCCAGTAAATTTAGTGTTTCTGTTTTAATATTTAGATCTTTGATCCATTTTGACTTTAGCTTAGTGCACGGTGGTAGACATGAGTCTAATTTTAGTCTTCCACATGTGGAAAGCCAGTTTTTCCAGCACCATTTATTAAAGAGGTGAATCTATCTTTTTTTTTCAGTGAACATATTTGGCCTCTTTGTCACAGATAAGTGACAAACTAGAGTTTGTAGTTTTGTTTGCAATAACATATGTATATTTATATATGTTTTGACTCTTTGGTCATGTGCTGATATATAGTTTTGGACATTCAAAAATAGTTTACATGTTATTACTACTTGTTAAAACATGACATGGCTTTCTCTTGACATGGGTTCTCACTTTGTTACCCAAGCTGGTCTTGAACTTCTGGGCCTAAGAGAGACTCGTGCCTCAGTGTCCCAAGTAGCTGGGCCTAGAGTTACCTGCCACCATGCCTGGCTTATGACATGGCGTTTGTTTACTTAAAAGGTCATCAAATTAGTAGCACTCTTCTTTATTCTTTGTGTGGCTTGTGTGTGAGACTTACAGGGATCTGGTTTGGGGCATGGATGCTATGACAAATAGACCTGGTAAGTTCTGCCACGTGTGCACATGGTCATGAGATGACACACAATGGCCACGGAAGAGATCTAGATCCCGGGCCTTTAAGGTGCACACCCAATAGCCTCTTTAGCTCTTTATTCTCACCCATTCGAAGGAGAGGACGCCTCATTAGTTATAGTATCTCTCGTGAAAATTATCTCAAGTCGTTGGGAAGGAGAAGACAGCCATTCTCAATCTGGGGAAAGTAGGTGGGCATACTCTGAAAAGCTCCTCCTACCCACAGCTGTGATCATTCTTCCTATGAGCCCAGGTTGGGAACTGAAGTAGCTTCATAAAGACAATCAGCCCTGATTTTATCTTTCACTGCATGAAGACAAGTAATAGGGGATTAATTCAATTGTAGGACAGCATATCTGCACAATGGATACAGATAACAGACTTAAAATGGCCTCAGAAAAGTGATATAAAACAGAGAGAAGGCTTAAATGAAAGCCTTCCTTTTCAGGCTTCCCTCCATTTTTGTACACAGCTGATCTTCCCCACCTGAAGTCAGGAACTTCACTGTAGTCAGCTAGGGTTTAGCCTCGTGTTCTCATTGGAATGCTAGATGTAGAAAAAGAACCAAATCTACAAATGGCTCCAGAAAGAAGGCCCAAAGTGTATTTCCCATTATTTCCAGCATGCCAGCAAGATTGAACCTGTGGAAGGAAACTGAAGCATTTTTTGTGAAAAAGAGAAACCAATTGTGGACACCTGCAGGTCAGGAAGACCACACTCCGGACTCTGTGACTCAGATCCCCAGGGATACAGGGTGGGCGTCACAGCTGCCTGGGAGTGTGGGAAGCATCTGGAGTCATAGAAATGGCAGGAACCCGCACCACCCAACCCAGAGAGCCTGAGTGGCACAGGCAACTGAGGGGGCAGTCTGCTCCTCTCCTACCACAGCCAGCCTCCAGCTCGCCCACATCCTGCTGAGGGCGAGGTAGCGCAAGCAGCTGCTGTTATGGCAGGCAGGGCTTGGACCAGACCCTTGTGCTCATGGTGCCCAGGATACTGACACTGTGGCTGGAAACAGTACTTCTCTGGGGAGCTACCATGACACAAAGCTGCTTCCAAGCTCCGCAGGGCTCTTGGACTGACATTTTTTAGGTTTTTGAAATTTATCAGGTATCATGTTGAAATAAAACCATCAAACTGTAGTTGGGTAAAGTTAATGCAAATGGATGAATTAAAGACATTTATTAAGTACTATCTCTGTTAATACACAGAAGAAAAGGAAATATCTAAAAAAGAAAGGAAATCTGGTAATCCTCTGGTGAGCGCACCAAGGGAGCTGGTGGCAGTCCCCTCCAGCGTCCACCTTTGTCCATTGATGGCCTGCCACTAAAAGTGCAGTGGTGACCTTCCCTATTTTCTTCACGCTTGGTAGCTACAACTGCAGCCATCTGCTCAGAAGTCACCAGCTTGTGGACTCCTCCTCCAGGTCCCCACACCGCTTGTGCAGCTGCACTTTGTACTCCGGGTAGCAGCGACTGTTGGCCACGCAGGCCAGATGGCTGCTCACTGCTCTGGTGCGCTCTTACAGCGTCACCCACATGAGGAAGGCTTCGCTCCTGCCTCTCCGTAGGAACTGCAGGGGTGTAAAGGTAGAGAAAGTCTACTTGCCCTGGCAACCTTAGGGCTTCAAATAAGGCCTGCCCATGGTAGGCTACACAAATGGATCAGTGAATGGTATGAAAAAATTGCTAAATGCAAAAATTATTTGTCAAAAAGTCTGAAGAGATTTCTGCCGACTTCCGGGAACCCCCAGACCCAGTCCTAGCCCAGGTCCGGCGAGTGTGTGGAGAGCTTCCCGCTACCCTGCGCCGGAGGGACCAGTCCCAGCCCGGGCGCAGTGTGGGCCGGACCCTCTCCCGCCCCCTCGGGCCGCCCCCCACCACTCCGCCGTACCTCCCCCACCCC